TCAGGCTGTCCTCATACTTGGCCCCGTCGCCGGGCAGCGCCTGCGGCTGGCCACCCCATGCCTGCAAGCTCTCCTCCCCTGAATAACGGGCCGGATAGGGGCTGTTCTCCTGCACAGCGTAATTGGAAAAGGCCGGCCTGCCTTGCAGCTGCTGCCCTGCTAATTGCTTGTTTCCCCGGTGGTATTTCTCCACGGTGCTGTTCTCGTAGCCCGAGTACGGCAGTTGCTGCTGACTGTAGTACTCCTTCGCCACCAGCCTCTGCCGCTCGCAGTTCGGCCCTGCCTGACTTTGATGCCTGTAATTCTCCAGGCGTGATGTATCTTGTGAAGTCGGCTGGTAGCTCTGCTGGTTGCCATGGAAACCACACCTTTCTCGAAAGGACTGCATGGCGCGGGCTCGTTATCTGCGAAGAGAGAGAGGCGAGAATTCAAATGAAGCATCCCCACCGCGGCGGGCTGGGGAGCGCGGCCGCGCGTGGAGAGGGGCAGCGTCGCATGCGCCACGGGGGCATCGCCTCGCCTGCCGTGGCATCGCCCCGCTGGCACTGTGTCGCCTTGCCGGCGCCCTGGAGCACAGCACCTGGCAATGCATTGCCTCGCGTCGCCCTGCATTGCATCATGTTGCGTTGCGTCGCCCCGCATCGCCTCACGTCGCCCTGTGTTGCATCTCCTTGCACTGCATTGCCCTGCATTGCATCACCTTGCATTGCATCTCCCTGCATTGTATTGTCCTGCATCAAATTGCCCCGCATCACGTTGTCTTGCATTGCATCGCCCTGCATCTTATCACCTTGCATTGCATCACTCTGCATCGCATCACATCACATCGCCTTGCATTGCATTGCATCGCCCTGCATCACATCACCTTGCATTGCACTACCCTGTATTGCCCTAGATTGCAGCAGCTGGCTTTGCATCACCTCGCTTCGCTCTGCATCACATCGTGTCACCCCACATCACATCGCTTGGTGTTGCATCACCTCACCTTGCATCACCCTGCACCGTTCTCTACCATATCTCCTTGCATCGCCCTGCACCGTTCTCTACCATATCTCCTTGCATTGCCCCGTGCTGCATGGCCCCGCTTTGCAGCATGGTGCCTGCGAGCTGGGGGGTGGCTGGGGTCCAGCTGCCTCCCTCCTGCCTGCGGCACGGCCAGCCCACCCTCCTAACCCTGCTGCTGGGAGCCTTCCCCATCTCTGCCGCCTACCCCGGCTTTGCAGGGTGAACAAATCCCCTCCCTGCCCGCCCTGCGTGGTGCAGTGACACCTGCACCATGCTGGGGTCCCCCAGCCCGGGTGATCTCCATTTCATGCGCCCACTGCCCCTTGCCTCTGCAAATCACTTACCCCCCTCCTCGCACACCCTTCCCAGTGACACTGGAATCCCGCGAGCCCCTTCAAATACCCCACTTACCGCCATTGTTTTTAATTATTGGGCTAATTACTGGAAGCAGCAGCGTGGAGGGCCAGAACCGCAGGCTCTGCTGCAAAAAAAGTCATTTCAACTTGCTGGCTCTGCCTGTCTCTGCCTGCTGCTGCCTCCCGCAGCCCCCCCGGACCCAGCCAATCCCCCTTGCCCCGGTGCGATACCATCTGGAAGCTGTCTGCTCCCGCCAGCAGACGTCTATTAGCCGAGCGCCTCGCCACCACCGTCATTAAACCTCCCCATTTCCTAGCTCCGCTTGTGTTAGGTGCAGGGAAGCACCTGGGTCATTGGTTTGATCTCAGAGGCAGCGGAGCGGCTTGTGGGGACCCCGTGAGCTAATGAAGGGCTCCGTGGGGGGGGGGACACATGCTGCCTGTCCGTGGCACCAGTGGGTTGGAGGCACCGGCAGGGCATGAGCCTGTTTTGGCACTAGCCTGAGATTTGGGAGCCCAGGTTAGGGCAGCCCCAAGGGTCTGCAGCTCCCCAGGGACTACCCTGGTGCTGCTCCCTTGGCGCTGTGCCACAGCGGTGACCCCCCATGCAGCCCGTGCTGTCCCCTCTGCCTTCATTAAGGTGAGTGTAACGAGGGGAGGGGACGGGGTGCTGGTGGTGCCTGACACCCAGCACCCACCGGCAGAGCTGAGCCCAGCCCTGCTCTCCGGCACACCTCCCTGTGGTGCCAGCCACACCGGGCAGCCGCGAGCCGGGGGCCCCACGTGTCCCCCTGCCACCCTTGTGTCACCGCCATAACGTGCCGAACGGCGCGTGGCTCTGGACGGCCCCTTTGTCGGTGGCTCTGCCGTAGTTGTACAAATTGCACCGCTGGTTTGATCAGTCCCAGCTTGGCCCCCTTTCCTCCCAGTGCCCTGCAGACACCAGTAACGTCTCAGCACCTTTTCAGGGTCTACGTACGCAGATGGGGCTTTATTTAGTTATATTTCCATAACCGCCGGCAGCTCAGGGATGCACTGATCGCACAGTGCCCTCTGGCACCGCTGGAGCCGGGCTTGGTGCCACCCATGCCAGCCCGGCATCCTGTCCCTGCCATCCCCCAAAGTCCCTTTTTGGACACTTTCCATGTTGCTTCCCTGTATTGCAGCTGCATCTTGCAGGCTGCATAGGCAACTGCATGCAGTTAAAGCCTACATCCCAGGGAGAAGATGGGTCAATTAAAAACCCGGTGAGGCTGGCGTGAAAGCACCTACCGCGGCGCGGGCGCGGTGCTGCCCTGTCCTGCATTGGGGCTGCTGGAACAAAGGCAGCAAAATCAAAGCCAGGCCTCTGGGGCAGCCCCGGGCAGCGGCGAGAAAATTAAAGGGAGAAAAGGGCCCCTCACGCTCCACGTGGAAGCAGGTTTGAAAAATGAAATCAGCTTGAGAAGACCCTGGGCTGGTGCTTTAAGGGGAGATTTTCTCCCCCTTTCTCTTTTATTATTAATTATTTTTATTAATTAATTATTGTTACTTTTTCAAACAGCTGGGACAATGCCACACCGAGCAAAAGCGCCCAGTGCAAGGGGACAGATCGCTTACCAGCACACAGAGGAGAGGATGCACAAAGGGAGCATGTGCGCGGGGTGCGCACATGTGCAGGCTGTGCATGCACGCAGGGTGTGCATGGATGTGGGGTGTGCACGCGTGCAGGGTGTGCAGAGCTGTGCGCGCAAGCAGGGCGTGCATGTGCATTGGTGGGAGGAAGCCCCCCGGCAGGATCAGGCCATGGGGACAGCCAGCCTTGGCCACATCCCCGTGCCTGGCAAAGCCTCGGGCTCATCCTGCACCCCTGGGCATCTTCTTACAGGGGTCACAATATGCGGGGCTGGATGAGGCCCACCGGGCAGGAGATGCGGCCAGGGCTGCCTGTTGCTTCCCCATCCGAGACGAGTCGAAATCCTGTGCTGAGCGAGGTGCCTTGCCTGGAGCCACGGCCCCATCTCCCTGCAGGCTACCCGGGCACCGGGCTCTGCTGGGGGTTGGATGCTGCCGTTCGGGGCCGGGAGGGACACACTCGTCACCGTAGCACCCAGACCTGTCGGCAGAGCCAGAGGCCAGCTCTGCCCTTGGCTCTGCCGCAGCTTTGCCGAAGAAGGGTCATAACAGATGTTGCCGTCTGATGTAGGCTGTTTCCGAGCAAACGCTTTAATGGCATCAAATCAAGCTGTCGACAGCAGCGAGGTTACGGCCCTTCCCTGGAGGGGGAGGTGGCCGCGGCCATGGGGCCCTGCGCACTCCCTCGCCCCGCCGCGTCCCTGCCAGATGCGCTCCCCCGGCCCCGGAGAAGTTTCCAGCCCGGCTCCTGCTGCCCCCGTGATGGGAATTGATACAGGGCTGCCGGCGCGTGGCTGCAGCCGGATGCGTGCCCTCGGCGGCCTGGCAAAGCCACTGTGGCTGCAGCCAGGGCTTACGGCGTGGGTCCCTGGGAAGGGATCCCCAGGGCAACCGTGGCAGGAGGCAGGGACTTGGGGCCATCACGGTGCCTGGGGCCAGCGTGATCCTGTCCCCCCAGTCCAAGGAGCCATGCTCATCTCTGGCTACAGCCACCCTGGAGCATCCTGTCCCCTCCGTCCCCAGGGATGCGGGGACAGCCCAGCCAGCCCCACAGCTCCCAGCACAGCCCCAGCGTCACCCTTTGGGGACACGCAAGACCCGCTGCACCTCCCAGAGCTGATGCATGACCCAGGGCCACGCTGTGGTGCATGAGGCCATGCTGCAGTGCACAGGGCTGATGCAGTGCACGGGGCTGATGCAGTGCACAGGGCTGGTGCCGGGAGCTGAGCCGGGGCACCACGCAGCACTGCCAGGCCAGCGCAGCCCCGCTGCTGCAGACGCCCGCCCGCGCAGTGGCTCGCAGCCTGCCTGCTGCTCAGGAGGATTTGTGCTGCGTGGCTGGGTTTGGTGTTATTTTCCTCCCCCCCATCCCTCCTTCCTTCCCTGCCTTCTCTCCTTTCCTCCCCCTTCCCCTTGCCTGGCAGGGACACGGCAGGGCCGGATCCGGAGCCCTCTGAAGGCAGCCCAGGACTTTCTGTGGGAGGGGACCCTCGGTAAGCACCCAAGACCCCCAACGCCTCAGCCCCAGGGGCAGCGGGCATCCCCTGGCCCCCCGCACCTCAGCCTCGCTTCCCAGCTGCTGCTCATCCCGCGGGGCCTGATCCAGCCTCCCCTCAGCCCTGCTGCTCCTCCGGCTGCTCCCTCGCCTTTGCTGCTGCGCCATCAACAAGGACTCAATGACTAAAAATAGCAGTGCGTTCTCGCAGGGGGGATGCTTTGCCATCAGAGCAGTGCTGGCACCGTGGACCCCACTGCAAAACCCCTGCACCAAACCCCCTCCCAGCCCTCACCCCCCACCCAAGGGTGCAGCCCCACATGGTGAAGCAGCATCAGAGGGGGGAGCAAAAGGATAGGACCCCCCCCCCGACACCTTCAGTGGTTCTCGGGGGGGAATAAGAGCCTATCAAGGAGCGTCAGCCCCGGATTTGTTTAATTGTGAGCTGGTGGAGTTTAAAGAAACCCTTTCTGGCCGGGGGGTCGGGGTGTGTGGGACAGACTGGGAAAGGGCGTCCTGCCCCCAGGAGCTGGGAATGAGAGGAACTGGGGGGACAGACAGACAGACAGACAAACCCCCCGGCAGTGCAAAGGGACCCACGGAGCTCGCCCGGGGCAGGGTCAAACCCTCAGGCTGCCACCGTCCATCTGTCCCTGCACCCTGCAGACGCCCCTGCGGTGCCTGGCACTGGGTGATGGCACCCAGCTCAGCAGGGCTGGGCACCCCCGGTTGGGTGCACCCGCTGTCAGTGCACCCCCCCTTCAATGCACCCTCTAATGCCCCCTGTTACTGTTAGTGCACCCTTGCCCCAATGCACCCCTTTAATGAACCCTCCCTCCAGTGAACCCCTTTAATACACCCTCTCTCCAATGCACCCCATTAATACACCCTCTCCCCAGTCCCCCTGCCCCATCACCA